ATGTATACATGCCTAATTTTTTGGGAATTTATGTTTGTTTCCCAGGCAGAAAGTGCCCTAAAACAGTGTTCCCCAACCCCCGGGCCGCGGACCGGTACGTGGATCAAACGTTTACCGGTCCGCGGCGATAAAAAGGTTGGGGAGCACTGCCCTAAAACATTGCGGCTTGAACCCTAGTTGGTGGCGGATGAGTCACGCAAGTCAACCGGCATTCAGAGCTAAAATACTGCAGCGTGTGGACCATTTTTAGCCCAAGGCAGCTCATCTCATCAGGCCTTTTTTAGTCGGATGTATCGCCCACTATCAGTCCCGTCGGGATCCATCCCTCATTCATCTTAATAAAGGTGAGGTAATCTAGACTTTTTTGACCTAGGTGACTTCTCTTCTCAGTGACAATACCTCCTGCTGCACTGAAGGTCCTTTCTGACAGGACACTTGAAGCGGGGCAAGCCAGAAGTTCTATTGCAAATTGGGATAGCTCAGGCCACAGGTCAAGCCTGCACACCCAGTAGTGAAGGGGTTCATCGCTCCTCAGAGTGTCGATATCTGCAGTTAAGGCGAGGTAGTCTGCTACCTGTCGGTCGAGTCGTTCTCTGAGGGTGGATCCCGAAGGGCTGTGGCAATTCGTAGGACTTAAAAAGCTCCGCATGTCCTCCATCAACAACACGTCTGTAAAGCGCCCTGTCCTTGCCGGCGTGGTCGTGGGAGGAGGAGGATTACTTTCAACTCTTCCCCTGTTAGATTCCCGTTGTGCTGTGACATCACCCTTATACGCTGTGTAAAGCATACTTTTAATTTATTTTGCAAATGCTGCATCCTTTCCGACTTGTTGTAATTTGGTAACATTTCAGGCACTTTCTGCTTATACCGGGGGTCTAGTAGCGTGGACACCCAGTACAGGTCGTTCTCCTTCAGCCTTTTTATACGAGGGTCCCTCAACAGGCACGACAGCATGAAAGACCCCATTTGCACAAGGTTGGATGCCGAGCTACTCATTTCTCGTTCTTCCTCCTCAGTGATCTCAATGAAGGTATGTTCTTCCCCCCAGCCACGTACAACACCACGGGTACCAGATAGGTGACAACGAGCACCCTGGGATGCCTGCTGTGGTTGGTCTTCCTCCTCCTCCTCAAAGCTACATTCCTCCTCTGACTCCTCTTCCTCACAATCCTCTTCCAGCGTTGCCGCAGGTCCAGCAAGCGATGCTGATAAGGCTGGTTCTGGTGGTGATGGTGACCACAACTCTTCCTCTTCACGCTCATCTATGGCCTGATCCAGCACTCTTCGCAGGGCACGCTCCAGGAAGAAAACAAATGGTATGATGTAGCTGATGGTGCCTTTGGTGCCACTGACTAGGTTTGTCACCTCCTCAAAAGGAAGCATGAGCCTACAGGCATTGCGCATGAGCGTCCAGTAACATGGCCAAAAAATTCCCAGTTCCCCAGAGGCTGTCCTAGCACCCCGGTCATACAAATATTCATTAACGGCTTTTTCTTGTTGGAGCAGGCGGTCGAACATTAGGAGTGTTGAATTCCAACGTGTCGGGCTGTCGCAAATCAATCGCCTCACTGGCATGTTGTTTCGCCTCTGGATATCGGCAAAGTGCGCCATGGCCGTGTAGGAACGCCTGAAATGGCCACACACAGGGCCGGCCTTAGGTAATCAGGCGCCCTGTGCGAACCCAACACGTGGTGCCCCCCCTGCAGCAAAACCCTTGCCCCTTCAACAATAGCCCTGTTCCGCCTACTACAAAACCCTTCCACAAAACCCCTGCCCCTCTTTCTACAAAAACTCTGCCTCCCTTTAATAAAACCCCTGCCCCTTCTACAAAACCCCTGCTCCCCCTTTAATAAAAGCCCTGCCCACCGTTCTACAAAATTCCTTCTCCTCCTTTAACAAAACACATGCTGTCATTATATATATCTACTATACAGTAATGTACACATATCACTAAAACCTTCCCCCTCCACCAAAACCACCGCCACCCTCTACAAAAGCCCTGCACTCATTCTACATAAACCTCTGCTCTCCTTCTACATAAACCTCTGCTCCCCTTATACTAAACCCCTGCTCCTTTATACTAAACCCCTGCTCCTTTATACTAAACCCCTGCTCCCCTTCTACATAAGCCTTTGCTCCCTTATACTAAACCTCTGCTCCCCTTCTATTTAAACCTCTGCTCCCCTTATACTAAACCCCTGCTCCCCTTCTATATAAACCTCTGCTCCCCTTATACTAAACCCCTGCTCCTTTATACTAAACCCCTGCTCCTTTATACTAAACCCCTGCTCCCCTTCTACATAAACCTCTGCTCCCTGATACTAACCTCTGCTCCCCTTCTATATAAACCTCTGCTCCCCTTATACTAAACCCCTGCTCCCCTTCTATATAAACCTCTGCTCCCCTTATACTAAACCCCTGCTCCCTTATACTAAACCTCTTCCCCCTTATAGTAAGCCCATGCTCCCCTTATACTAAACCCCTGCCCCTTAAACTAAACTCCTGCTTCCTTATACTAAACTCCTGCTCCCCTTATACTAAACCCCTGCTCCTTTATACTAAACCCCTGCTCCCCTTCTACATAAACCTCTGCTCTCCTTATACTAAACCTCTGCTCTCCTTATACTAAACCCCTGCTCCCCTTATACTAAACTCCTGCTCCCCGTATACTAAACCCCTGCTCCCTTATACTAAACCCCTGCTCCCTTATACTAAACTCCTGCTCCCCTTATACTAAACCCCTGCTCCCCATATACTAAACCCCTGCTCCCCTTCTACATAAACCTCTGCTCCCCGTATACTAAACCCCTGCTCTCTTATACTAAACCCTTGCTCCCTTATACTAAACTCCTGCTCCCCTTATACTAAACCCCGGCTCCCCTTATACTAAACCCCTGCTCCTTTATACTAAACCCCTGCTCCCCTTCTACATAAACCTCTGCTCTCCTTATACTAAACCTCTGCTCTCCTTATACTAAACACCTGCTCCCCTTATACTAAACCCCTGCTCCCTTATACTAAACCCCTGCCCCCTTAAACTAAACTCCTGCCCCCTTATACTAAACCCCTGCCCCCTTATACTAAACCCCTGACCCCCTAATACTAAACTCCTGCCCCCCTTATACTAAACCCCTGCTCCCCTTATACTAAACCCCAGTCCCCCTTATACTAAACTCCTGCTCCCTTATACTAAACCCCTGCCCCCCTTATACTAAACCACGGCTCCCTTATACTAAACCCCTGCTCCCCTTATACTAAACCCCTGCGCCCTTCTACAAAACCTCTGCTCCCCTTATACTAAACCCCTGCCCCCCTTATACTAAACTCCTGCCCCCTTATACTAAACTCCTGCCCCCCTTATACTAAACCCCGGCTCCCTTATACTAAACCCCTGCTCCCCTTATACTAAACCCCTGCGCCCTTCTACAAAACCTCTGCTCCCCTTATACTAAACCCCTGCCCCCCTTATACTAAACTCCTGCCCCCTTATACTAAACTCCTGCCTCCCTTATACTAAACTCCTGCCCCCTCTACAAACCCCCTGCCCCCTCTTGAACAAAACCCGTGCCCCCTCCAAAAAATCCTTTCCTCTGCCACTTCACCAGAAATGCTTGCCCCTTCTTCTACAAAACCTCTCCCCTACACCAAAACCTCTACCCCCTATTTTACAAAACCCCTAACCCCTTCTATAAAACCTCTGCTCCTCCCTAAACCAAAACCCCTGTCCCAAAATCCCAGCTAGAAAACCTCTGCTCCCCTTTCTGCAAACCCCCCCCCCACACACAAAAACACCTGCCACCCTTAAAAAAACAAAAAAAAATCTATTTAATAAAAAAATGCAATAGTTATAACAAGAATGAGCAGACTCACATTGAAGCTTGCTGCTCCCTGGATCCTCCTGACAGTGTCCCAGTTTGCCGACCTTGATACCAAAGCACTGACCACCTCCCTCAAACTGACTGTGTGGATCCTTCCGCGAATGACTGTGGAGGCGGAGCACGCTCTTCCTCCGTGCTCCTGACCTACTTTCTCTCCCGGCCGCTGCTCTCTTCATAATTTGCAAGTCAAGTGCACAGCATTATGCACTTGCCTTGCTCTGTACATGACTCGGGCCGAACTGTGAGTGACTGAGTGCGAGCTGTGTCAGCCGCCTCGGGCGCTTCTTGTTGCTATGTAAAGTGGCGCGCCTGTGCGTCAAGACAGCTTCACATTACACCCCTAAGGCCGCTCCTGGCTACACACCTTTCCTGGGCCTGCTTCAGGATGTCCGCAAGCCTGTGTACTTATGCAATGCTGCTGTACTATCGATATACACATGCCATGCACGCACATGTCTCAACTTTCTGCCCAACTTCAATGCGCTAACAAATTTGTTCCGTTGTCACAAACCACTTTGCCGATATCCAGTCGCTGCGGAGTCAGCCACTTTTCCACCTGTGCGTTCATGGCGGACAGGAGTGCTTGTCCGGTGTGACTCTCTGCTTTCAAGCAAGTCAAACCCAAGACGGCGTGACACTGCCGTATCCGGGATGTGGAACAGTACCTGGGGAGCTGGGGGGGTGCCGTTGATGTGGAGCAAGACGCAGCAGCAGAAGAGGACTCAGCCGAGGAGGTTATGGAAGAGGATGGAGTAGGAGGAGTAGAGAAGGTGGCAGCAGGCCTGCCTGCAAGTCATGGCGGTGTCACCAACTCCTCTGCAGAGCTACGCATTCCATGCTTGGCAGCCGTCAGCAGGTTTGCCCAATGCGCAGTGTAGGTGATATACCTGCCCTGACCATGCTTTGCAGACCAGGTATCAGTGGTCAGATGGACCCTTGCCCCAACACTGTGTGCCAGACATGCCATTACTTCCATTT